GGGACAGGCCAGGATGATGTGCCATGTGCATGATTGTTGCAGCCAGCATTGTAAGAGGTTTTGGAGGGATCGCAGAAATGACGTGAATCAGGCAGGCAGACAGCTTGTTAGTATTTCTAGTTACACAGTGTTGCCAAGTTTTGGTTTCATCAGTAAAGTGATTAATTCAGGGGTTCCTTCAAGTGAATTTTTCTGTATAACTTTTCCAGAGAATTTTTTTTTTTTATAATGACTTTTCAGAGAAGAGAATAACAATGCACTTGAAGACGTGGCCATCTGTCCAGTGATTGCTACAGAGGGGGCCAAACCCCATTTTATTTCCACCCTCCCTCACCTCTCAGGCAAACCTGGATGCAGGCGTTGGCTACCAGTTCTTGGTTATGTTGTATCACTCCAGTTCCTCTGTCAGGTGTAGTACTGTAAGGGAACTGCAGACACTGCTCTGAACTCAGGGGGTCCTGTCCCCTGTATGCTAACAATATGGCAATGAAGGTACATAGACTGAAACAGAAGTAAATTGTCATGTTATTGATAACTGAAGTATGTCACTTAGGCAAATCAGTTGAAGGTGTCCACTGTGAGGTATCAGTGTTATGCATCTTTAAGGAGTCCTCATTTGTTAATGAATCCTGTCCCTCCATATATATGCAATTGTGGTAGTGCAACATTAATTCAAAACTGTGGATGGCTGCCACGGTTAGTGGATTATGTTTGAGAGAGAGACTTGTACAATTGCTGTGCATGTGGCAATACTGTTCTGCCATTTCATTTCTCATTTTCTACATTGTGCTGTGGAATGTGGTTCGCGTACTGCACATATGCAGGCCTGCCAGCATAATTCAAAGATCTTGCAGCCATACCAACATGTGTTTCTTTTTAAATTGAAGTGTGCATTTTAAAGTTAGGCGAATGTTGCTTTCTGACTGTAGTGCTTATAGTGGACAGAGGGGTGTGTAGTGTCTGTGAATCGCAGCGCATAGGGGTGAGGAGGACTTCGCTTTCAGCTTCAAGGCAGTGGTGGTGGTGGTGGTGGTGGCAGACATCCATTTGTCATTCCATCGGAGGGAACAAAAGACATCGCTACCAACCGTTGTGGAAAGTAACTAGGTACTTAGTACAAATATTAAATCTACAGCTTTCTATTCTATTTTGGATCTGTAGTTAGGATCCAATCATAACTTTGAGATCTGAAGCTCTTACAGCTGGGACTATGAAGAGTTTTATTTTCTTGGACTTGACGTCTTGTAGTCTGGTATATTTACTTAAGTTCTGGAGGAATTTAATGCTCCATTTTTGGGGTAGAAGAGCAGAGTTTGGAAATGACTCTTCTATCCTGAAGCATCAGTAAGGACGTACCAGACTACATGGCATCACATACCAAAAACAGTAATACTCACACTCTGTACTTTATATTGCTGGTAACTGCTGAATAGGTTCTGTTGGTAACAGTGCTATAGAATGGCAGTCACTAATGTCAATTTTTGGCAAGTCATGCAGGGCTGCCAACTGTTGTGCAACTCTGTTACACTGAACAAGATGATGAATTAACCCCCCTGAGGTCCTTATAACAAGTGTTAAAGCAGTCATTATGGAATAGAGAAAATTACAACATTGTGAGGCTTCTATGAATTATTGGTATGTGCACACATACACACATATAATTCGCTCCACATTTGAACAGCATGAGAGCATTAGATATTTGTGGACATATATCTTAAGTAGCTCAGTTAGTATACTGACTAAGCTATGGGCTGGATGACTGAGGAATTGGGGTTTGATTCCAGTGGAGGCATGAGATTCCTGTCATCTTCTCAGTAATGTCCCCCCAGGATGAGGAGCCCAGTGTGTGAAGCTAACCACTCACCTCTGTCAAGTGCTGAGGTCATCATGCATATAGGGATCTGGTCACTCAAATATGTCAAGTGCTGAGGTCATCATGCATATAGGGATCTGGTCACTCACCTCTGTCAGTCATCCAGTAAGAAGGAAAACTACATCAGATTCTCTAATGTTATAAATTTGAGCATATTTATTAGATACATCACCCAAGTTCCATAAAAGTAACCTAAGTGACTCCCTGTGTAACCATTCTGGTTACAGAAACCACCTTAAAATTAAAGCCTCACACAATTCATTCACCCACATCACAGCAAAATGTTGAAGATGTCAGTGGTGCCAACAGTGTGGTGTCCTGCAGTCTGGCTTGTAATCATCCAATAAATTCAATCAAAATTGTAGAGTATGATTTAATCAAAAGGAAGCCGCAGATGTTGAACGGTCAGAAGAGTCATGTTCCTTCCCTGGCAATCCACCCATCTTGTTTGTTCTCTGTAGAGTTCAGCTACATTTTTCACATTAATTTATTTTGAAAGCAGGCCTGAAATCTTTGAAACAATTATGTGAAATTTTTAATTCAGTTTCTGTAAACAAGAGTCATGTATGAATATGAAATGATAAAAAAAGTACAGGCCTGTATAATATGCTAAATTATCTTCCCAGTTTGGTGAATATGTGTTACAGTTCAAATGCAGATTTCTGTTTCAGTTAAATAACGTTTAAAATTTATATCACTGAACAAGTTTGATT